GCCTTCCAGGATCAAACGATTCTTTTGCCTCAGCCTCCCAAATAGCTGGGACTACAGGTGTACACCACTATGCCCAGCTAATTTTTGTGTTTTTAGTAGAGACAGAGTTTCACCATGTTGTCCATGCTGGTCTTGAACTCCTGACCTCAGGTGATTCACTCACCTCAGCCTCCCAAAGTACTGGGATTACAGGTGTGAGCCGTCCCACTTGGCCCAAGACTGCCTATCTTTAGCCTGCTTGTAAGGTTGGCCCTTAGCTGGAGTCTGGGAACTTGGCCAGTAAATAGCTTTTTACACTTACATAAAACTTTCCCTAAATGATACGAGTGGGTCACCATGCCTAAACTGCTTATATAAACAATGCCGTTTCTACTGAACACCTGCTTTCCTTCTGAATTTTTGGTGCATGCTAGGCAAAAATTATCTAAGTCACTAACCCCTGATAAAAACTCTGGACTGCTACGCTCAGGGGAGCTTCACTGATGGACAGCACTTTGCACTTATTATCAATAATTATTGCTGAAAGAATTAAGCATGAACTGTAACAGTCCACTGGGAGAGGACTCTTGGAAGCTTGTTCTTGGTTTCCTTCAGACTCTGCCTCATGCATTTTTCCTTTTGTTGACTGTGTTGTATTTTTTTTGCTGTAGTTAAGCCTTAGTCATGATTATGACTATATCCTGAGCGCTATGATTCTTTCTATGAAACACCAAAGCTGAGGGTGGTTTTGGGGACTTCCAAAACAATTATCTCTAATTATATATAGCTACCTAATATTAATTACAATTAAATTACCGTAGTGAAGACCCCAGATGCTGTGGACCAAGACAGGCATGGAATCAATGGCATGGGCTTAGGCCAGTTGGATACCGCTAAGGAAGCCATCTGTAATGTAACAGATAGTTTAGAGAGCTTCTGTTTAGTGTTTCTATTCGTTAAAATAAAAAATATTTAATATTAAGAAGTATTCCGTGCAGTAAGTAGTTGGTTAGATAAACACAAAGTCTGCAAACATCAGTGAGAATGCCTAGCAATCTCATTAAACTTCCGAAATCATAAATTCAACAACATTTAATTTCCCCCTTAAAAGCAACAAAATGTAATAGAAAACTTTAACCTCAAGACCCTTCACTGAGAGCTACTTTTTACTGTGTAAATATGAAGCAAAGATGCTGAGATGTAGATGCTGGGCAGCAGAGTAAGCACACTCATGACTTGCTCAAATACAGCAAAATCACAACTATAAAACATCAGACCATTGAGGCTGACTGAGTATGCAAAGAATTTGGTGAACTACAAAGCAGATTATATAACAGATATAAAATGATGTAATGTGTGTGTTTAGAGAAGGAAAAATTTACTCTCTCTTTTGGAGAAGGGAGAACTTTATCTTCTGGAAAAGTTACTTTCCCTTCTGGGCTGCAGGAATCAGAAAGGAAAGGCAGGCTTCACTGAATGGCTGAGTCTTGCAGAGGAATGAAAGATAGGGTCTTGTCTTCCATAGAAAGAAATCAGTATGATCAAAGGCACTAAGGTGAGCATGCACAGGGTCTCATAGGGAAACAGCCAATATACTTCAGTTGGGATGGTCAATAGGCACATGTGGCCCATGGAGTGAGGGAGATAGTAGGGCTAGAAAGATTGATCAGGATCAGATTAGAGGTTCTTTGTTCTATAGATAATGGGGAGTTAATAAACAGAATTGAGTAAAGGAGTAGTATTGTCAAAGAAATGATTCAAAAAAGGTAACATGATAGTAGTTTACAGGATTGAATAGAGAAGGGGAGAGCTGAGGTAGGAAGACCAGTTAATAGGCAGTAATCCAGGTGAAAGTTTTAAGAACCTGTCCTAGGTGATAACAATGGAAACACTCCTAGATAGGAAAATAAATCCTTCTCCATCTTCTGTTTCACTGACAGGTGGTTGTTTTGAATTTAAGTTTTTGAACTTAATTTTCTAATTCAAGTGACATAGTGAGCCTTCATATTATCATTATTATTATTTTGAGATAGAATCTTGTTTCTGTCTGGATCATCTAATCTGGAGTGCAGTGGCACAATCACAGCTCGTTGCAGTCTCAAACTCTGTGGCTCAAGGATCCTCCCACCTGAGACTCCTGAATAGCCACAATTACAAAGGCGTGCCACCATGCCTGGCTAATTATTTAAACAATTTTTTTGTAGAGACAGGGTCTCACTATGTTGCCTGGGTTGGGGTATGATTAATTTTTAGGCCAGTGCAGTGACTCACATATATAATCCCAGCACTTTGGGAGGCTAAGCTGTGTGGATCACTTGAGCCCACACACAAACAAAATAATAATTTTAAAAAAATGTTCTGAGTGACTAGTATGTGCCAAGTAACAAACCAGAGCATATTCCTGACCCTCAATGTTCCAACTGTTTCATGGGAGAAAACAGACTGCTAAACAAGTCAGTAGAGTACAGTACAGTACAGTAAAAAAGTTACTAATGAGAGTTTGAAGTATAGTCTGGAGGTAAGGCTGGGTGTCACAGATGAAACAGAAGGGTAAGCTGTTACTAAGCTAGCTGTAAGAGAACAAGGGAGCACTAAAGGGATGCTAGCATGTGACACAGCTGGAGCCCAGTATATATGCAAGCTTTTGGCAGGTTTTGAACAAGACAGAACAAAGATTAGATTTAGAAAGATCACTGTAGTTATGGTGTAGAGGAGAAATGGTTAAGAAAAAGATTAATAAGAGAAAAGACTAGAGACAGAGAAAGCAATTAGGAATACATTTTAGTACACTCTAAAAAGCAGACAAAGTAAAATTCGTGGTGGTACTAGGGAGATAGATAAATGGAAAGTATTTTCCAATTCAGGTATTTTGACCGATGTAACAGCAAAACTGAGCATTTATACTTGAGACCTGAAAAGTTAAATTTTATATTTTTAAATAAAATATTAAATCTAATATCTGAAATACAACTGTGGAGTAGTACAATCAACGTCTATATAAATCATATAAAAAATTAACATCATTGCTTCATAATTGGATGAAAGCCTGGAATCTGTTTCTGCTTCCTACTTTTGCCAAAACTAATTCTATACCTAAAGTGAATTTTTTAAATAACCAGGTTCTCTAGATCTTATAAACATAAACATAATTAAATGTAAGCAGAAATAAAAAGGCTTACGTGTCCTCCCATGGATATTCCAGTCATTCCTAAAGGGCCATAACCTTCCCTCTCTAGCCAGTGCAAGAGGGCTGCAGATTCTAAAACAAGAGCTCCTCCCATCACAAAAAGGTCAGACACATTTTTTAAGCTGGACCTTCTAGACTCACAAAACAAAATAGAAAATGATTATTTTATGTATTTACATGCTAATATATGCAAACTTACAGACTTCATGCTGCCAGACTTCATGTATTTCTTTTAAAGGACCAGATAGTTAAGTAAAACAATGTAATAAATTGGAATTAGGGCCAGGCATGGTGGCTCATGCCTGTAATCCCAGCACTTTGGGAGGCTGAGGTGGGCGGATAAGGTCAGGAGTTCAAGACCAGCCTGGGCAACATGGTGAAACCTTATCTTTACTAAAAATACAATTAGCAGGGCATGGTGGTGCATGCTTGTGATCCTAGCTATTTGGAAAACTGCGGCATAATAATTGCTTGAACCCAGGAGGCAGAAGCTGCAGTGGGCCAAGATTGTGCCACTGCACTTCAGCCAAGGTAACAGGGTGAGACCCTGTCTCAAAAAAAGAAAAAAAATGGAATCAGACAGCTGCTAACATTGTTCTACATATCAAATCACCTAAAACTTAATAAAAAAATGTGTTCCTTGTTCTATAGCACATAATCTTTACTGAAATTATTAGAATAGAATTCAAAGCATAACTTTTTTTTCTCTGAGATGGAGTGTTACTCTGTTGCCCAGACTAGAGTGCAGTGGCATGATCTCATCTCACTGCAGCGTCCACCTCCTGGGTTCAAACAATTCTCCTGTCTCAGCCTCCCAAGTAGCTGGGATTACAGGTGTGGGCCACCATACCTGGCTAATTTTTGTGTTTTTAGCAGAGAGAGGGTTTCACCATGTTGGCCAGGCTGGTCTTGAACTCCTGAGCTCAAGTGATGGGCCTGCCGTGGCCTCCCAAAGTGCTGGGATTACAGGTGTGAACCACCACGCCCAGCCTTAAAGCACAGCTTTTTAAAAAACCAATATAAAAGAATTTAACCAAACCCTAGGCTCATGTATTACTGAAATCTTAAATATGTTGCTTATTTTCACAAAATACACAATTTATGCATATAATAAAATATAAAACAAACGTTTTTATAAATATACATGTTTTAAATAAAGATCAATTCAACTGTAATTTCATTTTTAGAAGCTAATTTTACATAGAAGTATATTTCCTTATAAAAAGTATTTAAATATATCCTTTTGGATCCTAGAACCACCTGTATTTAATGATAAAAATAAACATATACGGCAGGGTGCAGTGGCTCACGCCTGTAATCCCAGCACTTTGGGAGGCCAAGGTGGGAGGATCACGAAGTCAGGAGTTCAAGACCAGCAGCCAGTATGGGGAAACCCTCTCTCTACTAAAAAATACAAAAATTAGCTGGGCATGGTGGTGTGCGCCTGTAGTCCCAGCTACTCGGGAGGCGGAGG